CGTTTACCAGTCCCTCAGACAAAGTGAATTTATTACCAGTCATTGTTGTGTATGATATTCTACTATGAAGTGTGTGAGTGATGGAGTTAATGTTTACGCATGAAGCCTTCTGTTCTGGTATATTTATTAATTGAAATTCCTTAAGAGGCCAATCGGTTTCGACTTCACGCAAAAACGACAGTCCCTTCCACCACAAAGGAACATTCTGTATAAGCCTTAGATTTACACCTTTGGATGCATGTCTCCACGACGAAGATGAAGTTAATTACTGGATTTCAGCGACTCTATTGGAAACAAAATTTTCAAATCCCTAGCGTTTGAACCTAACCAGGCGAGAACCACCGACGAATCAGTCCAATAGACAATTCTATTCACCTTAAGTCGTAGTGATAGTGAAACCTTCGACGCCAATCGAGCGCCCAACAATGCTCCGCATAATTCAAGGCGAGGAATAGTTTGAGGTTTGAGGGGTGCAACTCTCGTTTTGGCACAAAGCAAATTAGAAGTCACTTCGCCCGATTCGTCTGTTGTTCTGACATAATAACAAGCGGCGTAAGCGTCTTGAGAGGCATCAGAAAATATGTGTAATTCTATAAGACTCGGATGACTACAGAGTGCGAACCTAGGCATTGATAATGAAGATAATGTGGAAAACCCATTCACAAATTTACACCACATTTTTGCTACCTTTCCCGAAACTGGATCATCCCAATCCAATTTCAACTGCCACAAGGTTTGAAGTATGATTTTTGGTGTTATAGTACACAGACTCAATAAACCAAGAGGATCGAATAATTTAGATGATGCTGATAATATTGATTTCTTCGTAATTGTGGTTGTAAATAATAATTCCGTTGAGAATTTTAGTACATCTGCATTAGGATCCCATTGCAGGCCCAAGGTACTGGATTGAGAAGTTAAATTTACGAAATTTACGAAGCGGCAGACAAGCTGATTTAAGTATTGTTTTCAGACTGAGAACCCGATAAAAGTCATCCACATAAAAATCATCCTTGATGACTTGTGAAATTGTTTCATCAGGACACTCGATCGCCAACTGAAGTAAGCATCTAGTACTTAAGAAAGGAGCGGACGCCGTACCATACGTCACTGTGTTTAACTGGAATGATTTTATAGGTTCGTCTACACTATCACGCCATTAAATCATTTGAAGGTGCCGTTGATCGTTATGAACGAGAATTTGTCGATACATTTTTTCTACGTCAGCTGTAACGACGAACCGATGCTGTCTAAATCGAATTAATATTGAAAAGAGGTCACTTTGTACTACTGGACCTACATATTGTATGTCTTTGAAAGATGTTCCCGAAGTTGTCTTAGCCGACGCGTCGAAAACAACTCTCAACTTTGTTGTTTCGCTGTTCTCCCTACAAACAGCATGAATCGAATCAATCGAACTAGATGTCACTTCGGTACGTTCTTGATTTCTCCATGACAACCTTTCCGGTTTTCTTCCATGCTTAAAAGTAAATTAGTTTTCAAAACTCAATAAACAACTCATATTCTATTTGTACTTTTTCCTATTCGTATTGATATCTAAGTTTCGAACATTTCAAATTTTAGTTTTTAATATGTTAGTTAAAAGGAATTGAAATGACTGGCTTTGGTCTATTCGTTTCCCGCAAAAATCAACTTTTGCTAGAGTCGCCATGTAGTGGAAGGGATTTTTTAGTGCTTTCGTTTTTTTTTAAATACTTCCTCATTTCCTTGATATTCATTATATCCTTGCACGATAGATGGCGTCACTAAGTAGTTAAAAAGATGCTTAGATTTATTTTAATAATTTAATATTCTTTTGATATAAATATTTTATAGGTTTAATTTTTTTTATATAAATAATTTTACTTATTAAAATATAAATTGTCCAACTAAAAAGCTTTGTCTCTAAGAATAATACCACTTAATATATTGTTTTGTAAAATAGAAATTAAAGAATACTAATCATATAAATTGTTAAAATAATAAAGTAAATTTCAATGTTCACAAATTTGCTGTAAACAATATGTAATAATATGTAATACTAGTAAACAAAACCTGTTCACCTGTTAAGTCACGTATCTTGTCACTAACTCCTTTCATTGATGAATAAGGTATATTACGGGTAGGAGGAAGAATACAAAATGCTTCTGAAATATATAATAAAAAACACCCGGCAATACTTAATTCGAAACACACATTCACAAAATTATTGTTCACACGTGAACATAAAAGGCTTCGTCACTGCGGGCCACAACTTCTTTTAACAAATATAAGGCAAACATATTGGCCACTAGCTGGTAGACGATTGGCTCGAAGTACAGTAAACAATTGCAAATTATGATACATAATAAATGAAATGAAATGAAATGAAAATATCTTTATTCAAGTAGGCTATTACAAACACTTTCGAATTGTCCAAAAAATTTTTTTTTTCCGTACCACTTGTTCAGGACGTCTTTTAGCTGACAAGAAGAACAAGCGAAAGAAACTTACCAGCTCTTTATCATAAGTAATGACATTTACATAAATCATGTCATTACCAAAATAATATGTATTATCACAATAATAAATACAACTTTCAAAGTCTGAAGGACATAGGTTGAACATATAATTAGTCTTTATAGAACAGAGCGAAGGCTATTAATTCCATGCATTGCGATCCTTAAAATAATTATCAACTTTATAATAGCCTTTACTCATAAGTATATTCTTTACATGAATTTGAAATTTATTTATGGGTAGGTCAATTACATTTTGTGGAACTTTATTGAACATAGCAATACATTTACCCAGAAATGATCCTCCGGTTTTTTGAAGTCTGAAGCTTGGAACGGCAAGTTTATTTTTATTTCTTGTGTGAACACTACTTTTTTTTGTGAAGGAATCGTAATGTTTTCTTGTGTACATAATATTCTAATAGATGTATTGAGAGGCAACAGTCAGAATAATTATTTCTTTAAATATTTCTCTGAGAGATTCCCTAAACCGTAAATTATATATAGCACGGACAGCTCTCTTTTGTAGAATAAAAATATCCTAAATGCTAGCCGCAGAACCCCACAACAATATACCATACGTCATTACACTGTGAAAATATCTAAAATATACCAATCTTGCCGTTTCAACATTTGTCAAGAGTCTAATTTTCTTAACAGCAAAAGCTGCAGAACTCAGTCTACTTCACAAGCTATCAATATGAGGATCCCATTGCAGTCGGGAATCTAGTGTAATACCAAGGAACTTTGTCGATTCTACTATGTAACTCAACTTTTTCACTATTTACATTTATAAGTGTACTGACATGCCTCACATTAGGTAATGCAAATTTATGCATTTCGTTTTATTTCAATTGAGCTTTAAATTGTTATTATCAAACTACTGTAGAACATTGTCGAGAGCATTATTTACATCGTCAAAACAATCATTACCTCTCTCAACTTTAAACAGTAAAGAGGTGTCATCTGCAAATAATACTGTCTCGCACAAATTCTTCGTAAAGTGAGGAAGATCATTAATATAAATTAGAAAAAGAAATGGTTCTAATACCGATCCCAGAGGTACGTCCATAGTAACTGGTGCCCCTGCAGATTTCGCTTCATTAATTACTACTTTTTGAATTCTAGCAGAAAGATATGATTTTATTAGATTAAGTGAATTTTTCGTCACACCATAGTGCTCTAATTTCCCCAATAGTGTTTCATGACTAACGCAGTCGAATGCTTTTGATAGATCGCAAAAAATGCCAATAGCATCTTGTTTATTCTCCCAAGCATCATAGATATGTCTCAATTGATAAGTGCAATTCCAGCGTCTGTGGTACATTTACCTCTGCTAAAGCTAAACTGATTTTGGTGAAGTAATTTATTTAATGAAAAGTGTGCAAGCAGTTGATTGTAAATAATTTTCTCAAATACTTTACTTAACGCTGGTAGTATAGAAATTGGTCTGAAATTACTGGGATCAGACTTGTCGCCTGCCTTGAAAAGTGGGATTATTTTACCATATTTCATTAAATCAGGAAAAGTTCCTTCATCAATGCACTTATTAAAAATAAAAGTTAATTGAGGCGCTATAGATGGTATTATAGATTTGATAACATAAGTTGAAACGCCACTAAGATCTTCGGTTTTTTTGACATTAGTGGAATTAAATGTTTTAATAATTGAGCAGACGTTAACATGTCTAAAATAAAATTCAGTATTGCACTTATCAACAACTGACTCTAGATGCAAAACCGCAAATTTAGAACATGAACTAAGATTTCTAGAGATTTCTATTGGTGTCTTAGAAAATAATTTCTCAAATGTATCGGCAACCGCTTCATCTGTTTTAATAATTTTATTGTCAACCTCTAAAGAGTATGTGCGCATATTACTTTTATTTTTACCCGTTTCTTGATTTATGATAGTCCAGGTTGTTTTTATTTTATTTTCTGAATTGTAATTTTTTTCAGATATATATTTTGCTTTTACTGACACACATACTTTCCTAAAAATTTTCGAATAATTTCTGACATATTCAATAAACTTTGGATCAGTTGAGGTACACTTTAGCTCATACAAATCATACAGCCTATTTCGACTTTTGTAGATGCCAGGTGCAGCCCAATCACTAAATTTCTTTTTTTGGTTAGCAAAGTTAATTGTTTTGAGTTTAAATGTTTTATCAAATTCTCCCTTTATCAAGTTAAAGAAATTATTATAGACATCATTTATATTTTCTATTTTCAAAAAATATTATCTAAGCAAGTAGCAATGCCAGAGAAAAAGCTAATGTATGTATCGACCTACATTAATTTTCTTTTTTTAAGACTGTTTAGTACTTATATTACCATTTTATTATTATAAAACAATGTTTGGTATTGTTTTATAATAATAAAATAATGTTTACATGTTTACCTAGTTTTCTTATCTGACATACTCAATCATGGGCAACTTTTATTAATTTGCAACACTAAAGCGACGGTGTCGTTACCACTCAGTTCACGGATAAGTTGGTAGGGGTATATCGCGAAGAAATTGAATTCGATTTCTACACATATATTATTTTTATTTATAATTCATCCTAACAAGAACAAAATTAATCTTTATTTACACAAATATTTATGGTATAATTTGCTGTGTTTCATTTCATACTTTTTTCCTTTCACGAAACATCAATGGTAAACCTCCTTTGATACTTTGCACAACATTAGATTTTGGATTAACTGTTGGATAGCGAACAGTTTCTGCTGCAGGTTCTACTGTGAACTTGGAGAGTATCGCTGCCAGTCCTGCCATCGACTGCATTAAGCCAAGACGACTACCTAGAAAGAGAAAATTCAATGTTATATAACTTTCACATTTACCTTATGAGGAGGTGGAGTGTCTTCTTGTCAAACGGTGCGAGCAGTTCTTGTATATCAATCATCATCTGCTCCAATGATTTTTATGAAATTTAGTAGGCAGTGGTATAGTTTTGGTAAACTTAGTTTTGGTGATCTAGCTAGATTTAATTTATCGAATAAATATCTATATATCCAAGTACTAACTATATAAGCAAGCGTAGGGGTTTACGGCTGGGCTCAAGAGGCTGAGGAGATCGAAGACTTTCAGAAATAGATACGACCCTTACATAATTACACGTGTCTACGCTAGTGTGGGTTAGCTCATTATCCATTTTCAGTGCTAGTAAACAAAATTTGTGCTAATACAATGAGGTTTTATACCAATTAAGTGCTTTAAGTTAGCTATTTAGAGTCCTCACAAGGTGGCGCAATTTTTTTTATATTCCTGATTTTTATGGCGCTTAGAAAGGGAAAACATGTTATTTGCTTTTGGGTCGACAAAATAACCTTCTATCACTTTGTCTGTTTCATGTTTCAGTTTAACTCATCGATATTTGAAAAAGGGTCCAAATGCCTTGAGTCGAACAAGGAACAGATTTAAAATTAAAATAAATATGTAATACCTATATAAAATTCCTCATGATACCACACATGACATATTCTTCACCCAATTTTAAACCTTAATGCATAGAAGTTAGAGTTGAAAATTAATTGCGATAATTTGATATACTCTAGTAACCTAACATGCTGCTGTGTGTACCCTATAATGTCGGCCAATCAGAATGATTCAAGTATCAAGTCATGTCACCTAATCCCCGCCGAGTATGATTGAGACGGACTTTCATACCTTATTCTTATTACAATAAGAGTCGCTATACATTTTAATTGTACCTACTTTCGGTAGATCGGCTTTACGCAAACTCACCATATGCAATATTAATTTGAACTCATTGTATTCAGTAAACATATCCATATCAAAAAGAAAGTTATTTCAGAATCTTTTTTTTTTATCTTTATTGCTCAATAGAAAAGAGACAAATATACAAAAATCTTACGCATACATAACAACAATACTTACAATAGGCGGCCTTATCGCTTGATAGCGATTTCTGCCAGGCAACCTAACAAAGTACAGAAATTTAACTAAGTACAAACATAAGCAGATAGTGCTAATTTAAAACAAAGTAATTTCGCGGACAAATAGAACAAAAGTTATGAATACATATAAGTGACAAAACAAATAGATATACAAAGCGTGAAAGCATACTAGCAACAAACAACGTGCGACATGTTGGGGAGGAAAGAGAGAAGAAGAGAGAAAAAAGAAAAGAGAGGAAGAAAGGAAAGGAAGATTCAGACAGGTATAAAGATTAAAGCAGCGATTTGAAAATGTCTAAAGACTTTACCTGTCGTATTGACTCGGGTAAGGAGTTCAAGAGTTTGGTGGCCTGTAGTGTAAATGAATTGCTGTAAAATTTAGTCAGATGAGGTGGTGTATACAAACAATAATTATTAGAAGAGCGATGAGATAGATCATGAGAAGATGAGAGAAATTGAAATCAAGTTTTAAGATAGGAAGGAGTCATGGAATTGAACAGTATTGAGTACAGAATGGAGAGCATATGCATATCCCTTCGTCGACGGATGGAAAGTCACTGGAGTTGCTTACGGAATTCGGAATCAATTGAGGTAGGCAAGAAATTACGCAGTCTCTTAAGGGACCCAGACGCAGCAAACATCCTCCGGCTCACTTCTCCTACTTGTTGACGCCAAAACAACGTATTGTCAAGGATGATACCCGGGTCATTTACAGCATCAGCATAAGGCACACACACCCCATCAAATTTAATTAGGGGTAATTGGTCAGTTTTAATGCTAGAAATATAAAAAGGACTACAAAAACGACGTTTTTATGGAAATATAAGGTAGATGCGTCTGTTTCTAACATTGTCCTGTTGTCGAACATTTCTTGGCCCATTTGAAAATAACAAATGCGTTGAGAATTGGACTCTGACTGATATTTGGTCTAGGGTTACAAAAATAATATCACTCTTTCATAAGAGTTTTTTCCCTCTAGTTATGATCTCTTTATGGAAGTGATATTATTATATTATTTTTGTTAAATTAAAAGTCTATGCATGTTTTATATGATAAATTAGGTAAATTAGGGATAGATGGTAAATTAGGGATATAGAGCTTGTAGGGAAGTGCAAAGTCGTCCAAAGAAATCGTTTTACTAACTCTAATACACTCATAATACTACAATTTATTAATTTAAATTCACTAAAGTTTTTACAGAAATAGTTGTCATTGGGAAGTAGTTTTTGTCGTCAGAAATGAAAACAATAATACTTTTTAAAGTTTGTCTTTGATTTATAAAAATATATAATCACCAAAAATATGGCTTATATGTGTATCATAACAGCTACAGCTATTTAAAAAATTGAGAAAATACTCTGTTTTGTGCATTATATTTCTATTAAATCCTTTATTATCTAAGCAGAGATAATTTTACTTTCGAGTATATGAGTACACATATAGTAAAATTTCATTAGTAGACAGAAAACTAAACGCCAGTAAATACTTTACATCCACTTTATGTCTATATAGGTACAACATGTAACATAATTAACGCGCATCCTGAAAGTAGTTTGTCTAAAATCAGATACTGATTCGATTCTGAAACTGTTAATATAGGCATTTTTTTGGAAAATTTAATTGGAATCAAGTTAATTATGGCCACTGTAACCATAACACTCGTCACAAACAAAAAATAAACTTAATTGAATGTAATTAGATTTTTTAAATTGCACTTTATTCTTAGCTTGTATTAAAATACAACATAGGAAAAAAGACAAAAAAAATTAGCTTTCTTTTTATGTGCCTTAAGTCTAAAATGTTCTTATGAATAAGTTCATAAACCAAAGAGTAAAATAATTCACACGAGATGATTCTTCTTTATACTAACGTACTTACAGTAAATACATCAAAATGCTTAAGGGTTAGGTACAGTGTGATGATACTATGCTGTGTGTATGATATGTGATCTTGCGATAGTCTTGCAACTGTGCTAGCCGATACTCATAACAAGTAAGAATCGTAATTATTGCCTAAACTTATAAAACAATGTGAATCTTGATAAAGAATAATATTTCATGTCGAGATTTTTTATCGGTAGGTAGGTGGTATTTGTAGTAGCGCAATGAACCCTTGAATTCTGATCCGATATTCTGTTGAGAGAATAAAAGCTGCTAGTGTTAAGAACCAGATTTGCTAATGTTTTTGTAACCAACTTTATGTTGTTTTCTCAAAGGTTAGCAACGCTTCTGGGCTTTATATTTTGGCACCCAAAGAAAAAAAAACCAATAACATTTATAAATACTTTTTTAAATATTGTTGTTAATTATATATACCCTTGGCACCCATTTTTGTACAAAAAGAATTCTACCTTTATAGTCCACACGAACGAAGACATGGGCACCAGCTAGAATCAAATAAAATAGTGGTATAAACTTAACCTCGTTAGTATAAGTTAAAAGTTTTTTAACTAAATGAAACGTCTGAGATACCAAAACAAAAAAAAAAAACGAATTGAGAATAGGTTAACTAAAACAGTAGCAGACGTCATTTGGATAAAATTAAAAATGCCAGAACAAAATGAGTCGAAATATTTTTGGATTAAAAATATTATTCGTTAAAAAAACATACTCATCTTATTTGCGGTTGTTCAAAATATTTGGTGAGGATCGCATTATTACTAATATTAGCGACACGAATGACTGTCGCTTATTTGGATAGTTGCCTCCAGAGAATAAAATTTATAAATTTCGCCAAGATTGCTAGTTTAAAGCTGCATACCTTGCCATTGATATGAACTTCCTGCACTGTCAGTTAACTAAGCGACAGTTTATTCTAACTAGTAATCTCTAAATCCATCACTATCAAGATTCATGGTAAATATTTCATGAAAAACATTATTAAAAGCCTTAAATACGTCACAGAAAACATTTTAAACGTTATCTGAATTCTCCCAGGCATCAACAATTTGTTCCAAGAGTCCCATATTCCGAGATTCATGTCGACACTGGACTCATGCATCCGCGTGAGGTGAATCGTAGCTGCTTTTATAAGGTAGGCCAGTTACACTTACTTGCCCTTTTCAGAGTGGGATCCAGAGTCCTGATTTAAATCCACTTAAGGTGTGTTTCTCTGTTAAAACATTGTTCTTAACTCTGTGCTTAGAGTTGAACTGAATTGTAAAATTTACCGTAAAACATATACCGTAATTACGACACAACAATCAAGTCTGGTTACCGAGTTATTCATGTCTAATTTTTCAATGACTCCAACCTCGGTCAGTAATAAAATTTAGAAACAGTTGGAGTGAATTTCAATTATTACGGTAACCATACGCCACAAGTTTGTGTCCGTGGTGCCGTAGATAAATTGAAAATCTTCTATTTCTCTTAATTCTTGTTTAATAATATAGCAAGATAATTAAAAAACCTTATGTTGATAACTATTAATGACTAAAATGACTTTACGAATTTTATTCAAATAAATATACTAGTATCTTAAGAAAGTCAAAGAACGACGCCTTACGAAATAATGGTGCGATCGTGTCAGTCACATTGGAAAACTTGTCATGGCTATTATAATAGGGAATTATACTCCGATTGCAATAGTACTTACTTAGTACTTGTAAGTGTTTATAAACCAAAACAAAAATTTAAGACGTTTTGTAACCTTAAAATTTTTTTCACTCACATTCAAACTTTTTTCACTCACAAAAACTATATATTGACATAACCGTCCGCCGGTTCGTCTATGTCAATAATAATAATTAATAACAGTAATGTATAAACAGATTTAATGTACAGATTAAATTATTTTAACAGTCTACCAATTTAACAAATGTAATGTAAGTGCTATGAATTTATTTAGATATCCCCGTATTGGGTAAGTGTTGCATAATTTCT